AACCCAAGCTGAGGGTTGGGATCGGAGAGGTTGGAGAGAAGGCAAGGAAGGAGGGTGACTGAAGGCACGGTCGAAGAGGAGGGTCTTGAGATGGATGATCATGAAGGAGGCAAGGGAGGGGGCGAGGAAGAGGGACTGCGGGATGAAGTTCTGGAGGGTGGGGGCAGAGTGGCTGAAGGTCCACCTGCCAATGGTGGGGCAGATGAGGCGGGGGACGTGAAGCAGGCCGGAGCCCGCTGAGCGGAGGGAGCGAGCAGGATGGTAGGGGGCAAGGAGGTCGCAGAGGTAGGGGGGGAGCAAGGCCATGGAGGGTTTTGAAAGTGAGGACCAGGATCTTGAACTGTATCCTCTGTGTAATGGGAAACCAGTGGAGTCGGGCGTGGATGGGGGTGATGGGGTCATTGAGCTGGTGGGGAGAGGACACGGGCTGCAGAGTTTTGGATGCTTCACAAAGTACAGTGTAAATTGAATTGACAGTGTGGGTGAAACATAGCAGCCAATTGCACACAGCAGTGTCCCACAAACAGCTGTGGATTGAGTGAACCAAAAATTGTTTTGGGGGGTTGGGGGGAAGGATTATTACCCCTGGAAAGCGAATCACCAATCAACTAGCAACCGTGTTCCTACTTACTGCTGGGTACATAGAGGCGTGAAAACACAACTGCTCAGATCTGCTCAGAGTACTGATTCGAGTACCTAGTATGAATTGAAAGACTAAACGTTTATCAAACCTTATTTAATATTTTTTGAGCCATGCTGGAAATCCGTCACACGCTGATTCTTTTAATTTAAAACCAAGATTAAGCCGTTCATTGAAGTGCGGGAATAGCCTTTCTGTTGCTATTGGCGATGACTGCAATTGAGGCAGAGGTTCACCACTCACAGCAGGCTGTAAATAGTACTATCAGTGGCACAGATCTAGGAAATCAAGTCAGCAACTGCCAACTCATCTAGGACTTCAACTAGCTTACAGAATATTGTGTTGTGCAGACAGAAGGCCGTGGCAGAGATTTGCCAGATACGGAGACAACGCTGATCATTTCAGCAATCTAGCAAATTGAGATAATCAGACTCAAACCAACAACAACAAATTATATTTGTATAGTGCCTTTCACGTCAAGCTGTATAGAGGAGACATTGAGTTTGTTATTGTGCAATAAAGACATCCGCACAATATATAAGTAGAAATTAATCACACATTCTGTAAGATTCTTAAAACTCCACCTCACGAACACTTGTTTACGAGTTTTAAAGACAAAATAAATGTGCAGTTAATTTCTATTTGATTCCCCTTCTCCAGTCTCAAGATTTCATGCTTTTCCAGCATGATAGGAGAAACTGCAGCCTTGTAAAGTGGGTGTATGTATATATATCTGTGCGCTTTGGGACGTCCTCCCGATGTGAAAGGCGCTCTATAAATGTAATTTTGTTGTTGTTGTGTGCATGTGTGTGGGGGGGAAGGGATCAAAGGACGGGATGGTTCAGCTGACAATTCTCTTTGATTTTCCTTCCCTCCCTGTAGGGAAGCTTCAGTCTTGCCTGATTCTCTGCAGATAGTATAGCTGAACGGAGGCCTTGTCTTGAGTGAACACGTGCTGCTTCTCCCCCATGCACTGGAACCCAAGTGTGAACGATCTTGTGACAGGCACAGCACATGGGGAAAAGTGGGATCTCAGTGTTTGGAAAGTAAGCTGAAATGCCTTTAACAAAGATTTAGGTCTGAAACATTATGTTTCACGGGTGCACCGGGATCTAATCTGAGATTCACAAAAGTACTTGTAATTGTATTCCCAGCAGGAGTCTTATTTGTATTATTTGGATTCCTTAGGAAGTACTATGATAAAAATACCACAAACTGGACCCCATTGAGTGGAGCAGTGTCTTGGATCTCTAACAATCTGTAAACACTTCATATAGCCTCGAGACAGACACTCAAGTACAGAGCTTGCAGAATTCTGCAATTGTTGGAGGTGCCATCCTTCGAATGAGATGTAAAATCGAGGTATGCTTTGAACTGCATTGAGACATCTCAATGATGTGATAAGTTGCTACATCAAACCCCACAAATACCAAGTCACAGATTTATTCTGAGCTTGCTGTTCTCAGTTGTGGCTACAACTGACCTCACAAGATTGGTTCAGATAAAGAAGGGTCTTTGGTCCATTTGATCTTGTGCTTCCAGAATACCCACCTTCTATCACAGCTTTTTTAAACAAGTCCAGTACCCTGGTCTGCCCCACCCTTCCTGGCAACCTGTTCCTCTGTTAGTTACCTCTGGGTAAAAACATTTTCTTGATATCTATCTTGAAATTGTCCTTTGCTCAGTGGTTAGAGCACTCGCCTTGCAAGCGAGAAACCTGGATTTGATTCCGGGCAGGGCGAAATGTTGGGCAAGTTCCCTCACTCCACGCCCTCTGTTTACCCAGCAGTAAGTAGGAACCCGGTTGTTAGTTGATTGCGGATTGCTTTTGTGGGGGTAATAATTCCTTAAAAAAATCATAAATTCGTCACTTCAATCCACGACTGTTTGTGTGACACTGCTGTGCACAATTGGCTGCCGCATTTCACCCACAAAATATAGTCAATTCACTTTATAGTATATTCTGTTAAGTGCTTTGAGACATCTCGAAGACCTGATAAGGCGCTATATCAAATGCAAGTATTATTATTAATTTGTTTTGCAATCGTGAATTTATGTCCTCTTGTTCTACTGCCTTAGTGCATCCTAAAACATTGTTCTCACTTTACTTTCTCAATCACATTTAAGCCCCTTTGGCAAGCTCCATGATTTTAGCTGGTTAATGCCAGAGGTTCCCCAATCTACACTTTGAGGTCCCCAAGCCTTGGCTCTTGCCCCTCTGTGCCCAATACTCACTGGAATTAGGTAAGCAGGATGTGTATCTCCAGGGAGAGAGGGTACCTTCCAATCCAGACACAGAGAAATTTCCATGGGTAGGTGGCATACTTGTATGGTGTCTGGTTTAGATACTCTTAAGCATGGAGATGAACTTCTGCCTAAAATTCAGCTGACCAAAAACATCCCATTTAAATTCTTATATACATCTATAAAATTCCCTTTGAAATCTCTCTTTTCAAGTCAAAAAAGTCTTAGCTTATCACAGCTCATTCCTCTAACGCTGCGGATCATCCTCATTGCTCACTGTCTTCAGGGTCTCGGCCGCTGTGCGGCAACCAGAATGGTCTCAGCGCACTGGATTATATTAACATGAATAATAATCCTTGCATTTGGTATGGATCCTTATCACATCGTTGAGACGTTTCAAAGAGCTTCACAGTATATACCGTAAAGTGAATTAACTCTATATTTTGTGGGCGAGGAAGGGGAAATCATTTGAGGTTCCTGTTCCCGACTGCTGTATAGACAGCTCTCTGGGCAAGTATGCAGTGCGAGACTCCTCTGTGTCGAGGCCTGCGCTTGGATAGCTGTCAGACAGCGCTCATGGTCAAGCCTCGCACATGAGTAATGGCCACGCGGACGCGGGCAAGGTGGCAGCCTGAGAGCAGATAAAAGGAGTTAAATGCCTTCAGGAGAGGAAACGGAAAGGGTGAGAAACTGGAAAAAAGCTGTAAAAATAAAGGCGAGAGGAGTACAGTGGCAGTTTGTACTGGTCCTGTAATCATACTGCTGGGGGGGGGGGGGGGGGGGGGGGGGAGCAGGTAGATGGATGGGTGTGGTCAGCATCACTTAGACCAGTTATGTGCACCTACACTCCTTTCGGTTCTGGGGAACTTCTAAGTCTCTGGAGACTGGTTACACTCTGTGCATTCCCGCCACGTTAATGCGACTCGTCTGTCTGCAGTGTGTGCAGTGCAGCTCCTCCGCCATCAGCTCTCAGCACATTCACACACACAGTGCAAATATATTCCTCGCTGTGTAAACACTGGGAGGAGAGTTGGAATCTCCGGCGGTTGCAAAACCCCGTTACCGGATCGGGAACTGATCCGCTGCACTTCTCCAGCCACGTCGGCGCAGCACCTGGAAAACTGTTCAAGCGGATGGATTCTGTCGGCAGCGGTGACTGCGGGTGTCAGTCCCGACCTCGGCTGAGGCTGTATTGGAAGCTGTTCCCGTTGGGGGGGGGGGGGGGGGGGCGGGGGACGATCCCACCCACGGGTCCAGCTCTCCGGGATTTCAGGGTGATGTCTCCTCAGCGTTCCCATTCCCGCAGCACCGCAGAGCCCGGGATGAGTGTGTGCGCCTCATCCATCACTGCACCGGCTTCACGCTAACGGTCCGTCCGCACTGCCTCCTGCGAGGAGTCGAGGCGAAGGTACCTGTGGCAGTACAAAGCTGATCCATCGCCTTCCTGCTGTCCCGAAAAAAAAACTTCCAACAGTCCCGGGAGGAGTCTGTCTGCGGGGGGGGGGGGGGGGGGGGGGGGGGGCGGGGGGACGGGACGGGACGGGACGGGGGGGGGGGTGTGGAAGTGGAGCGCACAGGCAAAGGCTGATCCGGATGGGCAGTGGATGGGATCCGCGGATGACAGAGCAGCGCAGGTGCCAGGACCCCGGCAGACAAGGCAGGAGGATGGTGGTCAGACCAGCTGTCAGCCCGCCACAGCATTCCTGCTGACTGAGGGGAGGGAGAGAGAGCTACACACACACACACACACACACATCCACCTTCAGTGCAGACAGAATACATCAACCAGCAGCCAGCAACCATACACCAGCAACCAGCAACCAGACACCAGCAACCAGACACCAGCAACCAGAAACCAGCAACCAGACACCAGCAACCAGCAACCAGACACCAGCAACCAGACACCAGCAACCAGCAACCAGACACCAGCAACCAGACACCAAACCAGCAACCAGACACCAGCAACCAGACACCAGCAACCAGCAACCAGACACCAGCAACCAGACACCAGCAACCAGCAACCAGACACCAGCAACCAGCAACCAGCAACCAGCAACCAGACACCAGCAACCAGACACCAGACACCAGCAACCAGCAACCAGACACCAGCAACCAGCAAACTAGCAACCAGACACCAGCAGCCAGCAACCAGACACCAGCAACCAGTAACCCAACCAAAAAAGGGGAGAGGAGCAGCCTCTCTCGTGAGGCTGAAGGAAGCAGCAAATCAATGGGAAAAAGACTAACACCGCATCAGCAAGAGTCTGGGGGGCAAAACTGGTGAGTCTCCCATCATTTCGAGATCTTGGCTTCTTTTTCTGATCAGGTAAAGCCAGAGAGAGAGAGAGAGATCAGAGTCAGCTCTCAGCAGCAGCACATAAACCTCTGCAGCGCAATTCCTCAGGCGAGGAAACACCAGCCGCAATGCTCCGGGCATTTCCAAAGAATATCCTGCGCTAAAAGCCAAGGGGTCACCTTATTTTTCCTTGAGCAGTGCAGCATTAACGGTGCAAAGTGAAATGCAGCGCAGTGCCTTCTGCCTTTCAGGGGATTCGGGGTTAGAATCTGGATTCAAGAGCAAAGCAAAAAAAATCCCCTCCCCAGTTCGAGGATCTATTTTTAATATTCGGGATCGCTTTAACTCCTTGTGCAGAGCGTGTGTGAGAGGAATAACTGCGTTCGTTATTAATCCTGAAGCAAATTGCAACCGAATATGCTGGACAATAATAATAATAATAATAATAATAATAATCCTTGCATTTGATATAGAGCTTTTCACGTCGGGAGGACGTCTCAAAGTGCTTGCAAAGCACAAGCTGATCGTGAAGAGGAAGCATTACTGCTTGGGAAATGTGTCTCTTAAGCAATTCCGAACCAGACTTTTATATGTGAACAGAATTGGCTCCAGTTATTATAGCAATAATAATCCTTACATTTAGTATAGTGTCTTGCACGTCTGGAGAAGGTCTCAAGCCAGTTCGCAAGATTATAAAGCGCAGTGACTGTATATTTTATGACTGGAGGTGACAGCTAATTTGCGCACGTCAATAGATCCCACAAAGAGCCATGAAGTGAATGACTAATTTTATCTTGGGAATTGTTGGCCAGGAAAATAACTCCTTCTACAGTAGCTATAGCTCGGTACTATACTGCAGTACTGTTCTCTTGTTATACTTGTACTACTATAACTGCGGCACAAAACAAAGCTGTCTTACATTCTCTTTGTATGTGTCACTTCTTAAAAATATAACTTTTCTGGTTGTGTTTCCATGGAATTGTTCAATGTTAAAGTTTTCTCCCAAATACTCCTAATAACCAGTTCCGTTCTGCTGCCACCAAAGTGTCAGTGACAGATACACACACATCACCAAACTGTGGGTGACAGACACACACCACCAAACTGTCAGTGACACACACACACTAGATTCTCAGTGACCGACATCCAACTACCACCAGACTGTTTGAGACTTAGACCGACACCCACCACCAAACTGCCAGTGACAGATACACACATCACCAAACTGTCAGTGGCAGAAACGTACTCACCACCAAATTGTCAGTGACACACACACACACACTGGACTCACAGTGACCGACATCCAACTACCACCAGGCTGTTTGAGACATAGACCCACACTCACCAGCAAATTGTTAGTGGCAGACACCAAACTGTGTGAGACAGACGTACACACTCACCACCAGATTGTCAGAGAGATTAAACATATACACACACACAAAACTAAACTGTCCAAGACAGAACCCCCTCCCAACCACCAGACTGTCAGAAATTCTGACACGACTCATCGCCAGACACCTGAGGCACAAACCAGATCAGGAGTTAGAAACTCAACAGCATCGATTACCAATTATATCTTCTGACACATCTGGATCCTGGACTAACACACAGTCTGCTGATTTACATTTTTTAAAAGAGACCTTACTTTTTACCGAGAGTCTATTGTTTTGTCCGCCTTTCAGCTTTAGGGCCTATGTTTAACTCCAGTCCAGACTAATGGGATGCATAGTCTCCTCTCTCCAGATTGCAAGGATCCAAATTAAAATAGAATTTTGGACAGTCAACTGATCGCAGCAGAGCCAGCCAGGCCCACATCATAAAACTGCCCATAATTCATTACAAACCAGTAACCAAAAATATGTCTGGTGTGGGGCATGGCAGCATCTCACTAGTGTGCAGGCAGTGTGAGTGCCAAAAATACAAAATCATTCCCTTGTCCAATCCTGATCCCGTGAGCAGTGTCTCTTATCTTTCTCTCCCACCTCCTTGCTGGTGAGTGTACATCATTGCCCACTTTTACGTTTTCCAACGAAAATTGAGACCCAACTTATATGCTGTCTTAGATCATTTTCTATAGTACTAATTGGTAGTTTTCAATTTTAGAATACTAATAGATATGTAGAAAATAATGTTATTGGGATCTAAAATGCAAGTTGAGTTAATAGCCCATGGGCTAACTATGATCAAACACACACAGGGCCTGGAATTAATCACCAATGAAGGTCATTCTGTAATCTTTATACTGGCTAATTACATAATTAAGGGGACCTTTAGGTATTTGAACAAGATTATCCCATGGGCTACTAGCCCAAAGTGCATTTTAGACCTCATACACCTGACCTACCACTTGATGTTCTTGATGTAACTCTCTCTATATTTCTCCTCTTATTTCCGACTTGCCCTATGGCATGCCTTAGAACCACTGAAGAAGACTATTTGACCCATCTTGTCTGTTCTGACTCTTTGATACACATGGATGTTTAACCACACGCACCAACACTGTGATGGAGAGAGTATCACCAAATTCCTTAAAGGGCCTTCTCCAAGCATAAGAAACTCTTATGCCACAAAACATGGTGTGCAGAGAAGTAAACTGCTGCTGCTGAAAAGCAGTGTCCCACAAACAGTCATGGATTGAAAATGACCAATTTATTATTGTTTTTTTTGTTTTGGATGGATTTGGAGGGATTAGTTGGAGTCTACTTCCAACTAATGTAACCAATGGTCAATGGGTAGGGATGTGTGTCCAAGCTGCGGGCAGATGATGAGAGCAATGCTCTCATACATTGTATGCTGAATTGTGTTACTCATCATGAAGCTTTCAGGGAGTTCTTGATATTTGGTATCCACATCTGTGCTTGTCAGATGTCAAAATGCAATAAAATGTGTAATTAAGTTTGTAAAGCACCTTTCACGTCGGAAGGATGTCCCAAGGAGCTGAACAGTCAGGGATTAGGACCCGAGCGTTGGGGGTTGGGATCAGGGAGGGTGGAGAGCAGAGAGGGTAGGAGGGTGGTCGAAGCCACGGTCAACGTGGAGGGTCTTGTGGTGTGCCTTGAAGGAGGCAGCAGAGGGAGTGAGGTGAAGGGAATGTGGATGGAGTTCCAGAGGGTGCGGCAGAGAGGCTGAAGACCCGACCGCTGATGGTGGGGTGGGCCGAAGGAGGACATGCAGTAGGCTAGAGCCTGCTGAGAGGAGGGAGTGGACAGGTTGATAAGGGGTCAGCAGGTTGGATAGGTAAGAGGGGAGCAAGGCCATGGAGGGCCTTGAAGTTGAGGATGAGGATCTTGAACTCGATCCTCTGAGGGATGGGGATCCAGTGGAGCCGGGCGAGGGTAGGTCTGATGAGGTCACGGAGCCGGGCGGGTCTGCAGTACTGTGAGACAACAGACCAGTCAGACTGACTCATCAGCAGGACTTGAAAGAACAGACCAGTTACTGGGGGCAGGAACTATCTTCCACTCAGCTGCTAATAACCTTGCAAGCCAAAGTCCGACCTGGTAAGGTGATCCTAGCCGATAAACAGTGGAAAGATTGCTAGGCACTGCTTTCAATGGCAAACTATGCAGTTTTAGCTAGTTAAACTTCAGCTGTATTGGATTGTAGACTCTGGGATCCCCAAGCCTTGAATCTTGCCAACCTGTGCCTATCGTTCTAAGGCATTCGATATAAGCCAGGGGCATTCCTCCGAAGAAAGAGTGCACACTTCATTCCAGACACATGAACATTTCCATGTGTAGCTGGGATTTATAACTCTCAGTCTACTTTGGATACTCTTAAGCCTGGAGATGAGTTTCCACGTGTCAGACACCCTGTTACCAAATAAATCGTCCCAAAAATGAAAGTAAAAACTACATATACAGCAGCTAGAAGCTGCTGTTTAGAAACTGTTTGAATCCATGTTGTCTAAATGACCCAAATATTTTCACCATGACCAGTGGTATGTTCTACACACAGCAGTTATCGATCTCCCTGCTTCCACCCCTGCCCTCCACCCTCCCCGACCCCCAGCTCAGGTCCGTAACTTTGTCTGTCCAGCACCTTGGGACGTCCTCCCGACGTGAAAGGTACCATCCAAATTTTTTTGTCGTTGTTATACAAGGATAGATGTGAGAGATGGATAGTCAAGTGTACTGTGCGAGAAATGTCAAACGCTTAATTTAGTCTCATTTTAGTTGGGGTATTTGGAGGTTTATTTGCAAAAATAAACTGAAATCTGGTCTCATTCAAACCACTTTGGATGCTCCTGATCTCTGAAAGATATATCCGTTCTAACGTGACTATGCTCTGGCTACCAAACATTCGTAGCCTAGAGCAAGGAAAAAGTTAAGTTGTGTTTTACATTTCACTTTTGTATGTTTCATGTTTAAACTAATCATGTCATATATTTTCTACCTGATGCTGTAGAAGCCTTCACTCTTAAGGGAGTGAGCTGGTGGTGTGTCTAAGTCAATTCTCCCTAGTGGCTATTCTTGTCTGGGTATGGTGGGCTGGAGGAGCATTGAGTCTCTGGAAATCCATAAATGACCATTCCTGATGCTGTAGGAGTTAATATGCATTCATTTTCTCAGGCAGTCTCAGTTGTGGGACATTGCTCAGTGTCTGAGGGAAATGCAAATTCTGCCCTGCAAGATTGTAATAGATATCTGAATATTTTATAAATATTCAACACGATAGTAGCACTGAAACAAATAATAGTGTGCGTGGGTGTGTGGGTGTTCTGAAACTATGTTTGTTATAAACCTCAGAACAAAATAACATGTATCAACATATTGCAACTCTGAATACCTATCATTGTGAATGATTGTCTAAACAGTATCTCGACCAAGCTTAGATATGCCACTTGGGTAAGATCCTGGAACATTGAACCGAATTCAGTAGTCTTCATGAGAAGCGAGTAGAGGACTAGGTGGAATTTCAGGCCTGTAAAATGTTAAAGCAATTGGTAACAAGTAATACAAGTAGTTGTGTTGAGTAACACAACACAGAATAAGAACAGTAGGTAAAACAGTACAGATGTGGAGATCTCAGTCAAATTTGGATGCTCTTAAGCATGGTGATGAGTTCCTGCTTGAGTCAGACATCAGGCTGACCAACAAAATAAGATGGGAGAAAAGTTGTAAATTTAAATTTTTCATAGCAACAAGATTACTTAACTAGTGGGACAGTTCAATGTAAGATAAATAATGGAAACTCAGAGTTCCAGTCATGCCGGCGGCAAGTCATAACTGTGTCACTTCTCACAAAACAGCTTATGTATTAGCTTTGAGGCCAACAGTTTTAATGCAGCTGGTTAAGTAGAAGAATTCACTTATGTCAGCTCTGTGTAGTTTTATTCCCTCCATTTTTCTTTTCTACTCTTCTGAAGACTCTTGACGCAGGCTGGAATACCTTCCCATTGAACCTGGAAATTCTCCAATATCTCACTGACTTAGGCTGTAAGCAGGAGGAGTCAGAAAAGTTACCACAAGGATAATTGGCCTATAGTGGCTATGGCTTTATAGAAATGTTGCTTTTGATCCTTCGATGTCTCCAGCAGTAACCCAATGTACAGTGTGGGGTCCCCAAATCTTGTCTTGTGACAGTCTGTGCCTAAATAATACATTGTAAACGTGAGCTGGGATTATACTGCGTGAGATAATTACTGCTGATGATGTGTTATTTCAATAGTATCCTAATCTGCTACTTAAGTGGCCATTTTTTCAGATACGAGCCCAGTCATTAAACCTAGCAGACCTTTCAATTGTGGGGGTGTTTCCCCCAAATCTAATCCTATTCTCAACAATAAAAACTTGGATTTATATAGCGCCCTCCACTCCAGACGGCGTCTCAGAGCGCTTCACAGTAACAGATCCCGGGGCCTAGCCGGGGGGAGGGGGAGGAAGGTGACCAACGGCGCGGTCGAAAAGAAAGGTCTTCAGCAGAGACCTGAAATTGGGAAGAGAGGGGACGAGGCAAAGGGAGTGAGGAAGGGAGTTCCAGAGCCTTGGGGCATAGTGGCTGAAGGCACGGCCGCCGAGGATGGAGCGGAGGACTCGGGGGACAAGGAGGATGCCAGAACCGGAGGAACTAAGGCAACGGGCACTGTTTTGAGGAGAGAGGAGGTCAGAGAGGTAGGGGGTGCAAAGGAGTGGTGGGATTTGAATACAAGGGTGAGAATCTTGAAGTCGATCCTCTCTGGGACAGGCAGCCAGTGCAGACTGGCAAGGACTGGGGTGATCCGGGAGTGGAGTTTGGGGCGGGTAAGAATGAATGATCTGGATTTTTAATGGATGGTAGTGGATGGGAGACCAGCGAGGAGAGCGTTAGAATAGTCCAGCCGAGAGGTGACAAAGGCATGGACCAGGGTTTCAGCGACTTTCGGAGAGATGTACTGGCGGAGATGGACGATGCGTCGGAGGTGGAAGAAAGCGGTGCTAGTGAGGGACTGGATGTGGGGAGGAAGGATAATTGGGGGTCGAACCTGACACTAGGTTGCATACGGGTTCAGAGAGTTTTAGGGGGAGGTCTGGTAGCTGGAGGAGGTGAGAGCCATGAGATTTTAGATGTTGATGAGAACCAGAGTATGGCTTCCATCTTGTCAACGTTCAGCTGAAGGAAATTTGCACTCATTCAGCCCCTGAGGTCTGTCAGGCAGGCTGACAGAACATTAGGGGACTGGGGGTCGCAAAGAGAGGTGGAAAAATAGAGTTGGGTGTCGTCTGCATACGTGTGGAAATGTACCCCATGGCTGCGGATGACATCCCCAAGAGGGAGCATGTAGATCAGAAAGAGGAGGGGGGCCAAGGATGGATCCTTGGGGTACCCCGCAGGTAACCAGCTGAGAGCGGGAGGAGAAGCTATTTGTGCAGATGTACTGCTGGCGGTTTGTGAGGTAGGACTCGAACCAGATGAGCGCGGTCCCACTGAGGTGGATGATGAAGGAAAGGCAGTGGAGGAGGATGGCGTGATCCACTGTGTCGAATGCGGCGGAGAGGTCCAGGAGGACAAGGAGGCAGAGGGAAGGGGAGGAAGGTGACCAAAGGCGCGGTTGAAAAGAAAGGTCTTCTCATCCTGGCGTGGGGGAGTAGGAGGGGGCGCAGTCACTGAACAGTGATCGGCAGCTTAGTTTCTGTTCACTCCTCCAGCTAGGGCACACTGAGAACAATTGTTTCACCCACAAAATATACAGTCAATTCATTTTACAGTACTGTCAAGCGCTTTGAGACTCTCAAAGACATGATAAGGTGTCATATCAAGTGCAAGGATTATTATTATTATTATAATTATAAAGCCCACAGGTCCTGGTTGAGATCAAGTAACTTAGCCCAGACCCAGGGTTCTCCTGGTCTCCACGTTCTGGTGCTATATTACATTGCATAAATTTACTCACTGCAGGGCAATTCTCCACCTCTTGCCTCCTTCAAGGCCGATCTCAAGACGCTTCTCTTCGATCGTGCCTTTGGTCTCCCTCCCACCTCTCTGCCTTCCCTCACCCCTACACTATCCCCCCCCATGCTCGGCTCCCGACACCTAACTGTTCAGCGCTTTGAGACGTCCTCCCGACGTGAAGCGCGCTCTATAAATGTAATTTTGTGGTTGTTGTTGTATATTTAGTACACTTATGACATGTTTGTCTGTTCAGGTGGACATTAAGATCCCACAGAAGTACTCAAAAAAGAGAAGGGAGTTTCTCCTTGTATCCTAGTCAACAATTCTCTAGATAAAATTGATCATTCACTTCATCGCTGTTTGTGGGACACTGTTGTGCACAAATTGGCTGGGTTTGCCTAAACAATAGTCACTACACTTCACAGAAAATCTTTGAGGCAATTTGATGATATTTTAACAAATGCTAGCGTGCTTATCATGGGAAACCCATTATAAGTGGAGACTTTCAAAGTGTAGTAAACTTTAGGGCACAGGCACAGCTCCCCTCCCTCCCCCTGGTTTGGGGGTAGCAATAACTGATTTTCAGCTCCCTCTCTCACAAAACAGTGTGAAAAGGTTGCAGCTTTGCTTCCAGCTCCAATACGTTTGTGCAGAGTGAGGTGAATTGTGTCATAAATCAGTTACCTACTGTTGGTTATTGGTTTGAGCCTAATGTCCCATCCACGTTACAGCTATCCATTTGCACAGTGTTAACTGGACTTAGCAAGCACAGAAAATAAGAGAGTGAGTAAACAAAGCTCAGCAAAGCATAGCCAGCAAGTGTGGCCAATGTATTTGAGGTAACGGTGAAGAAAGAGAGGCAGGAGGAGGTGGGGGAGAAATAAAGGTTAGCCAGCTCAGATTAGGGCAAATTCCTTCTCCTGCCTGACGAATTAAGTTTGATCTGTAGGTTGGAACTGTCAGTTCCATTGCAGATTGTTTTGTAAACTGCTAGACTGAATGACCTATAAAGAAGTGCAGATACTGATAATCTGTTTTATTTCCTTGCACAGATTGCCTTAGGTTTCTTGAGTGAGAGCAGCCCCAGCTTTGGATTTGCGTGAATGATAAGACTGGCTCGGGTATACACATTCCCCCAAGAGGTATACTTCCTTGGGTTTGTCCTCCTCCTGTGCTTCTATTGAACAAAAAGGAGTTTCGATCAAGAAAGCTGCAACATTTGGGAGCCCAACAATGTGATATGATTTTTAATTTTGAGAAAGATTTTTGAAGCTTGGTATTGGTTAGAAGATTTCAGTGTGCATTCTGCAAGAATTGAATGCTTTTGGATATCTTCCTGAAACTGCCTGAGGGATGCCAGCCAAGACACCCATTTATCTGAAGACAACCAACAGTAAGAAAGGCAAGAAGATCAAGCTGAGGGACATTCTGTCCCCCGATATGATAAGCCCACCTCTCGGAGATTTCCGACACACAATTCACATTGGCAAAGGTGGTGAACATGATGTGTTTGGGGACATTTCATTCCTTCAAGGGAAGTATGACCTTTTGCCTGGAAATCAAGGTAAGACAAAGTTTGGGCAATATAGTGGGCACAGTGAATTTTTAAGGGCAAACAGCACTCCCAACTCTACTTACTCAGACACTCCTTCCCCAGTGCTCAAAAATGCCATCTCCTTGCCCAGCATCGGGGGATCTCAAGCGCTTACCTTGCCTTTACTGACTGCTGTGACCTTTGTCTCCAAGTCGGATTCCTCAGCACCTCCCAAACCCCCTCGGCTCCATCCAGCCACTGAGCAACCCTCAGCAGAGAATGGTGAGCAAATGCGGAATGGGAAAATCAACGGAGTCGAGAAAGGGGAAGAGAAGTTGCCATCAGTGTTACAGAATGGCAAGCACAACGTCAACAACTCATGCAACTTTATGGGCCAAACTGTAGATTGCAAAAAAGTAAAGGTGGAAGAAGATTCATACATATGGCCTGCTCAGAATGGAATGACAAAACTCACCAGCACATCTGAGGATTCCCTCCTCAACCTTACAGGCTCCCTTCTGTCCCTTCAACTTGATCTGGGGCCATCAATTTTGGATGATGTCCTGTATGTAATGGACAAAAAGAAACAGGTGAAGACTCAATGAAGGGAACATTGTTGTCAGAAATTGCCCCAGAAAGATTAAGCCTCTTCTGTTACAGTACATTTAAGTCAATGGGCCTGCAAATTTTCATATTGAGCATCAAGAAAGTACAATGGCAAGATCACTTGATCCTCTGTTCATAGTGAATAGAGACCCTTACTAAAGATATTGTGGGCTCACCTGAAAGACAAAGGGTTGGGAATGTTTTGACTTTCCCCATCAACACACTCGTATTAATGACTGTAATTGAGAGGAGAGGGAAACTGTGGTGGCGACTGTGGTACAATTTGCCCACTCTCCTGTCCACACCCTTGACACATTTGCATTGTTTGTCCAGTTCTTTAACACGTGCATATAGCAAGCTCAGCAGAACAATGTTAACGGAGATCACAAGCATGGTACTGTAGTTACAACAGTAGAGGTATCTTTATTTGCACTCTTATATCACAGGACATGTATCAATACACAATGATACCTTTTTTTCTCATTCAGGCAATTATTATCAAAAGCTTCTTACGTGTAATTTCTTCACTGTTTTAGCAGCAGCTTGCCAAAATTGGTTTTGTTTGCTTTGCTTCATTTAACCATATTTCTTTCTGTGCTTTTAACAAAGGTAATGTCCCCCTCACCACCACCAGAAACGTATATTATTAGAAATGTACACATGTTGCTTAAAACGGCAACATCCAAACAAGGATAAAGTGATGAACATATAAAATCCCTCCTATGCTGTACTGTCAATGCCGTAATACTGTATCCTGATTGTGTAGAAGATCTGTGACAGTGTTTTCCCTTTTGTTGGGCCTTCCTCCTCCCTCATGTGGAAAAGCATCACAATATTTGTGTATGCAACGTACAAGCAAGACTGGGTTCCATGCACGCCATCTACACAGCGAAATTGCTGTGCATGGAATAGAAATTCCAGGATCTGGAATGTGCACTTACTCCCTGGAGGGACGTGTCTTGCTCACTTAATTCCGGAGGGTATTAGGCGCAGGTTGGCAAGAGCCAAGGCTTCAAGTGAAAGGATTATTATTACTGCCACTGGTTTAAAATGTAAACATTTGTGCCTCACAGTATAGCTGCTGTTTTCTTGTGCTAACATCAGGGCAGCATGCTAGAACAGTCAGTGGGGGTGAGGTATGAGCTGCATGGAATCTGATCACTGAAACAGGTTGTTGAAACTAAAAGGTCTGTGTTGGTGAATATAGTCCACCCATAGCCTCTATCATCCAAATCCACTTCCCGTCCGTAGTCTCACCCAATACCCCTATTTCCTTCTCCCACAGATACGCTGAAAGTTATGGGTACTATTATTTTTCTCCCTCATTCCTCCTCCCATACTCCTAACCCCTCCATTTTTTTTGACACACATGACTGGAAGCTGGCCTGATTGAATCAAGGATCCCCATTGAGCTCGAGTGAAGAGGAGCTTTTATAATAATAAAAAATCAGATCCAATGAAATTAGTAACAAATAAAATCTTAAAAATCATTAGAGGGATTTCTCCCCCATTCAATGTTTTCTGATTAAAATGCTAACAGGAATATAAGGAACAGGCTGATTTTCCACACTTATACCGGCCAGCAGCCAACGTTGTAAAAATAACAATAAACCTAAAACGGGATACTTCACTTAATGCCAGCAAGAATATCTCAGTTGTTAAGCCCACGTGGCATTGGCATCAGTTACGTAACTTCTGTACAGTAATAAATAACAGAATCTCTATATTGCATTGATTATGTTATGCTCTTCCTAATTTCTGGTGCTTTCACACACCAGATGGAATGCACATTGTGGTGTAAGGCTTTAAGCAGTAACAAACTATGTTTAGATATGATTTTTATTTTGAATGCAATTCAAGGCAGTGAAAATTATGACTAATATCCGTATGCTAATAAATACTCGATTTGCACATTACAGAACCTAGAGTTAAAAGTGTGACCTTCAATTACACAATTATTAATGATAATTACAGCATCACATTGTCAGACAGTCCCACTACAAGCCAAGAATTGGGTTTGGGTGTGAACAAACCACTCCCCTCTCTGACTTTGCAAAAATGCCACAGCCCACAGCATCTTTGAAACTGCAGGCCCAAGATCTCAGCATTTCAAAGCACGTTCAGGGAATTAACTAATCTTAACTCTACCTCAACTATGGCTCAGATCAGAACAACAAGCGGCTTGGGTGTCATTTCCCCTCATGGTGGAATATGATGATGCTCACTGCCACATGAATAAGGACTGCTTGGGTGAGCTGCCAGCAACTGTGAAACTGAACCAAGGGCAACAGAAGAGGAATGGGAAAAGCATTGCCACGTATCAAGTAAATCTGTTGTGAATGTACACCCAACAGTAGCAGCATAATAATAATCCTTACATTTGATATAGTGCCCTTTCACATCAGAAGGCCATCCCAAAGCACTTCGCAGGATAAACTGTAAAGTGTGTTTGTGTATTTTTTTGGTGGGCAAATGTGACAACCAATGTGACAGCAATATCCCACAAACAGCCATGAAGTAAATGACTAATTCTATTTGTTGGCCAGAATTGCGGGATAATCTCCCTTCTCTTTTCGGATAGTGCCGCGAGACTTTTAACATCCAACTCTGTAATTCTGCATTTCTGTAACACGGTTTCAAAACATCTCATTTGAAAAAAACATTTTTCTGTTGAAAATCCTGAACATTTCTTTCCAACAAATGTTACCTCATTTCTGCTATTTCTGTTTACATTTTACATTAAGAACGATACAATTGAAGCATCTTCCCATGAGGAGTCTTCTTCAAATCACTGTTGTTTTGCCATTATTTATATTTGACTTCTTATTAACATTAATTAAAAAAAACAGATTGATAGCTAACAGCAAAGTGTGAAACAGGCCAATCTGAATAAAAACAAAGATTGAAAGTAAAAATGCACAGATCAATTCAGAATAAGAAAGTTGCATTGCCAGCTTCCTTAGTGGTCAATTCATGGCCCGAAGTTCTCACAGGTAGGATGGACAAATGGACAAGATATCTAGAGATCGGTCACCAGAGCATGAGTGAGCATCTTTGGGAAAAGAATGGTGAAAATTGGAAGAAAAATAGGAAAGCTACAGACAGAATTATAGCCATTAGTGTTCAGAAGGACTATTTATGATGGAAAGTTGACGTTGGATACAGTTCTGATCAGGGACCCTGGCCTATGTAATAACTCAATAGTAATCCTCTCCTTTCCTCTGCTCGTACTCCACTCTGAACACACGTTTAAACAGGAATACTCAAGGCACAATTGTCTCACTTTGTTAATATGTATGTGTTGCAGCAGAGGGTTTTTCCCCCAGTATTGTAAGATAGGTGTGTGTCTTGTGTTGCTCTGGTATTCCTGTAATAACAGAAAAAGGAACACAACCCACAGGAGGGATGTCTGGAAAGAGATAAAATTCTGTGCGTCAGAGGTCATCTTTTAGTGTTCTGTCCCAGATGGCACTGGTAATCTTTTCTGTAACATTCCTCACATTCCTATCTGAAGTCATCTGGGGCTACTCAAGTTGGAAGAATTTTGTCAGGCCACGTAAAGGTCATTCCTATGGATAAAACTGGGAATATAAAATGAATTACAGAAAAGTTATTAAAATAATTTGACACAATTGCTCTTTTGGAGGTTGTTCTGGTGCCTAAACCTCTGTTATGGCATTTTGATTACTGATGTGTCTCAGTGCAGTCAGTCAGTGCTGGCAAACCCTTCATTGAATAAACTTTAATACAAAGCCTCTGACTGACAAAGTTGGAAGAGATTAGTTCCTTCATGGCAATTAGCAAGCATTTTGAGAGTCAAATTCCAATTACACTACATCAGAGTGAGAATGCAGTGACTCAGAAACCAAATTCCCTGCTTGATCAGCTCTGTTTGCTTGGAATGAGCCTGATAAATGTTTGTGTTCTCTGGGAGGAAAGCTCTTGCAAGTACTGCATTGCGCAGCTCTCCCAGCTCCAGGAATTCACTCACGCCAACTTCAGCTCTGCAAAAAGTGGCCGTTGCACTTGGCAGTGTTAAACTGGCTCGTGCTGGTGCTGACTCAAAGCAAACAGCCCTCGAGAACAACATTTTTACTTTGTTCAGTCTCACTGCATTGAACAAGAGCAACAACACTTTGCACTTTACATAGCGCCATTTGCAAAGAAATCACACCGAGATTGTAACTGTCGAGAGACACCATTATTCCAATGAAACGTTAAACCGAACCCCACCTGCCTGTTCCTGTGAACGTTATCGATTCCACAACATCATTTGAAAAATAATGTGAGTTTGTCCTGAGTTTCTCTCTACAATTTTATTCTATTTTAGCAAAATTGATAACCTCATAGTGGGATGTAGAGCGGAGATGGCTAAAGGCATAGTCCAAAAGAAAGGTTTTTAGATGCGTATTGAAAGCAGAGAGGCAGGGAGGGAGTGAGGAAGAAAGATTTAGGGAGCGAGTTCCAACAACAACAATTTGCATTTATAAGCAGGATAGCTTCTTGGAGCGAGACAGCAGAGCCCAAATGTCTGAAAGCTTACACACTGATGGTGAGACGGAATTGGGGCAATGGACATGAAGCAGACCAGGGTTAGCAGAGCGGAGAGAGTGAGCAGATTGCACAGGTAAAGCGGGGACAGGCCACAGGTTTTCATGTGGAAAAGGCCCTTAAGCACTACTTTCCTTTGGGGACAAGATCACTTTGATGCATGTTATGTGTCTTTTAAATGTAGTTCACTGTATCCTGTTCACTCCATTCTCAAAACACATGGCATCAGTCCCACATCCATGACAACTAGTTAAATGAACTAAAGGTAGCTGGGCTTGTTATGTTATAATGCTGTCATATTGAGATGTTATGCCTCCTCCATAATGACCTCGCACTAACCTCCAAGGATATCCGAAAAACTCCCAATAAAATAAAAAGTTTTCCAAAACACCCCCAAACCTGTGCTGCTCTACGTATGGTGGCATAGCAAAAGATTAAACAAGCTGGCAAAAACAATGCAAGTCCAATTCTCTCAAAAGATTATGTGCTGAGGAGCTTCCTGTTTTCAGAACTTTGTTATCAGAAGCTTTTTATCACAAGTAACAGCAACAACAACAACAACTTGCTTTTATGTAGCACCCTTCATGCGGGGTTGTGTCTTGCAGCACTCTATAACCTATTTGGAAGGGAAGGTGAATATTTGGGTAACTCTGAAAATTAAGTGGCTTTCACCTGCAGAACTGTATTGTCACTACTTTGTTACGTCCAGGTTTCCTTTTCCACAAGCTGGAAGGTTACTGGCCTGATTCTGTGCGTGTGGGGGAATCCTCTGGATTCACCAGAAGATGCTGTATCCCACGGACGCTCATTGGTCTCCATCAACGAAAAAGCATTCAGCAAAGCAAATCTGAGGGGAGAAAAGTCAGAGATAAGGGAGGAACATGGGTATAAAATCTTAAATGGATTGAAAAAATAAACCCAAATCAATTCTTTAAGATAGTATTGATATTTGATATATTTGATATAGCGCCTTATCACGTTGTTGAGACGTCTCAAAGGGCTTCAAAGGATATACTGTAAGGTAAATTGAGTATTTAATGGGTGAAACGTGGTACCCATTTGCGCACAGCAGTGTCCCACGAACAGTTGTGGATAAAGTGACCACATTTTTTGGGGAGGGGGGTGATTACTACCCCCAGAAAGCGATCCAGCAACTATTTACTGCTAGGTAAACAGAGGCGTGTGAAGTAAGGAAATTTGCCTAAGGTATTACCCCGCTCAGGAATCAAACGTGGTTTCTCTCGTTTGCAAGGCGAGCACGCAAACCACTATGATACCAGACTCCCCACAAAGACTAGAACAAGGGGACATAGGTTTAAAGTTGTAAAGGACAATATCAGGACAGACACCAGGAAGGTTTTCTTTACTGATCAGAGATCAGTGACTGGAATAGATTGCCAGGAAAGGTGGTTGAGGCTTCATGTTAAAAAGAGCTTGATGTTGTTATAGGGGATGGTCGGGTGGATGTTCTGGAAGGATGAGGTTGGATGGGCTGAAGGACCTTCTTCATCCAAACCAATCTTGTGATTTTGTGTGAACTTTGCTGGTGAGAACAATTCAATCATAGTTGTTTGCTCTACAATTATTTTCCCTTCAATCAAACCCATGACAAAAATTACATCAGAAAATGTAATGTTTCAAAATCAAGGTCAGTCAGTTATTTTGTATAAACGACAAACTAAATCCACCTCCAAAGATTTGTTGCTACCGCTATTTTAAGAATTAATTTATGTGTTGATGGAGGAGCTATCTCACTATATATCTCAAAGTGGATGATATCTGATATGTATTTATTATTGTATTCTGTCTCAATCAGACATATTTAAAATCAGCTTGATACTATTATGGGGAACCAAAGGGCCTTCTTTACCCAAACCAATCTGATGATCTTGCAAACTCCCTTCTCTTTTTGAATAATACCATGGAATCTTTAATGTCCAACTGTACAGGCAGATCAGGAGTCAGTTTAATATCTCGTCCGAACAATGCAACATACCCCCAACTATTTGACCGTGAATATCTAACAAGCAAAGAACACTTTGTGGAAAAAAAGTCAATGGCTTAAGAAAGTGACTGAACAGAAGGTGATGTTATCAACAACAACAACATGCATTTATTTATATTGCACCCCTCATGAAGGGTAGCATCCCAGAGAGTTATCCAGTCACATCTGGACACTATGCAAAAAAAGAATACATAACCAAGCAACTGCCAGAAACACCAGTGTACTTAGCTACTGGGTACAACGGCATCATTGTGACGCAGGCAAAATGCCTGTCTGTGATTTCCTCCATCCCCGCTCGTCCACATTTTCAAGGCACATTAATTACAATAATTTGTCATCTCGGTGAACAGACATTGTACA